TTTTAAATGTCTCCCTTCCCCAGAATGTGAATCAAACTTTAAAAAAATCTCTTACATTTTGAGCAGGAAAAGATATTGAATTTCTTTAATCAGGCCATTCTCTTCTTTCTGTATGTCTATAAGACAGTTGTGTTCACGTGTCTAAATATTCTGCGTTCATGTTCGTTCTCATCCCATAGAGTTGTTGAATGTTTACTTGCTGGTTTGCCAGAGCTCTTTGCATATTAATGATATGAATCTCTGTGTCAGATATTTTCCCGAGTTTTTTCCCCCGGACTGCACAAAAGTTGATCGTTTTTCTGTAGTCAAATATGTCCATCTTAGAGTTGATACTCTTACTAATCATGACCTCGCTCACGGACAGGAATGCGAAGCTAATTGCCGTTTCCTTGTCACCCTGGTCCAGGTGTCCTCGCAGAGCAAGCGGCAGGTCCCCTGGGACACAATCTAGAGGTGGACTTGTATTCGCAATACAGCAACGTTCAGTGTCCTCCAATCCAGCCGCAGGTCTCCTCATCGTCCTATTATTCCAACTTGGGTTTCTACCCCCAGCAGCCTGAAGAGTGGTACTCTCCCGGCATCTATGAACTCAGGCGAATGCCCGCTGAGACTCTCTACCAGGGAGAGACGGAGGTGGCGGAGGTTCCTGTCATTAAGAAGGCTCGAACGGGTCTCTCAGGAGGGAGAATCAAGGGCGATGAGCTGTGTGTGGTTTGTGGAGACAGAGCGTCTGGGTACCACTATAACGCGCTCACCTGTGAGGGGTGCAAAGGTAAGCATCTCCTGATTGGCGGTTGTTGAAGTCCCTTGAGCTGGTTTCCTCCCTTTTCCCTGAAAACATCGCACTGTCTCTTCCTTTCCTTCTCCCTCCACATCTTTATTAAACTATCATAGATCTCTAGGGAAAGTTCTTTGGAAGAGTCTGTGGCTTGCAGGTGGCTTTCTGCTATTCACAACTTCATAGCTAATTGAGAGGACCTCTGATCGAATTCAGTCAGTTGTGGGTTTTGTTTCAGTGCTCGACCGCTGAAAGGCTCCTGTGTGAATCCACCCAGCGGGCCCTCAGAAGAAAGGCCTGGGACTCGGCCTCTGAGAGGTCACCGCCTGGAAAGCTGCTGGGGTGCAGTGGTGTGGTGTGACCCCCGGGTCTCCGTGAGTGAGAACCAGCTAGAGGACAATGGATTTATGGTTTTGGTGTGATGGGTTTTGTATCTTTTGTTGATTTCTTAAAAGAAAGATAAATCATTGAGCTCACCTTTTAAAAAATGAAGATCAGAGAGAATAAGACTTTATTCCAATAATATTTGAAATGTGTTTATGTTCCTTAGTAAATTGAGCAAGAAATAAATTGAGGTGGGGGTAGGGGAGGAGAAGAAAGTAACAATAATTAAATATTTCCCGCGGTAGGAATGTAGACTTGTGATAGGAACTTAGACTTGTGAAGCCCCATTCACAAGGAAAGGTAATTCATTTAGAAAGAAGAAAATATATCACATGTGAAAAAGAATCAATATAAAGTCCCATGAGGATTCTCTCCCAAGAGGGCACAGGCCAACTGGTAAAATTTCAGAGGAAAGAACAGAGGGGATTAGTAGGATCAGCTATTTACTCTTGTGTTTGTTCATGCAGCAAATATTTATCAAATACCTACCATTTATTGGGCACTCTGCTGGCTTCTGGGATATTCAAACTAGGGAAGTGTGTTTTGTGCAAAACCTGTTAGTGTTCCAAATGGGGGTGCCCCGAGGCCACTGATTGCCAGAAAACCAACACTGGCCTTAGTCACATAATGGCTCAAGGGCTTGGAAAGCCTTTAAAAGTTCAAATAGTCGATTGTGTAAAACCATATTAGTCACTTCTTAAAAATGTAGTCTTGTGAGGCATCCCCTTCACCCAGAACCCCCCCACCCCCTGTCCATTAAATAAAGAAGTATTTCCCAAATGAGAAAACCAAACTAGATCTCTCAGGAAAATTTTAAAGACCTCACTTAAGACTTTCAAAGCCGAATACCGAAACCAAAATCACTGCCGTTGTGTGGATGTCAACTCATACGACAGGCTAGAGATGCCCATGTGCATTTCCATACTGCAACTCCTTACTGGAGTAGAAAGCCCTGTATTCCTCCCGAGGAGCAGTTTTGAACCTCTGACCTTGCAGTTAACAGCCCAACACATAACCACGAAGGCATTAAGACCTCTATTATTTTTATGATGTGTATGTGGAGGGCCAAGTTTAAATAGATGAAAGACGCTATCAACTTTTCGAAGGCATTGATTGTCTTCCTCAGCTAGATCATTCCCTACAACACGCAGTGTGTGAGAC